ACATCCTATATCAAATTATCATGTAAGCAAATGAAGTGAAATATATTGATCTGCCAATAGACTTTTAAGAAGTAGGAAAGTGTAATATGTCTTGGTAATGTTAATGCCTTTTTAGTTTATTGAAATATGAGCTGTTTTAAATTAAAAATTTAAATGCATCAATGAAAGAGAAGGGGAAATAAGATGTCTAATTCACGGCACCCTAGATTAAATAAAAAGGAGGGAAGGAGAAGTTTGCCAACTGTTTATAGTTTTACGGATGGATATGGGTACAGGGGGACAGCTCTTGTGATTGCATCTGAAGCAGGGCTTCCCCACCTTCACAGGTGGCGGTAAGGCCTGGGGCAACTACATGTTTGCAGGGGTGGTTTATGTTCCTCTTTCCTTGATCGCGCTGCCTGCCAGCGGAGGGAGCGCACCAGAGGATGCTGTATAGCTTGGGAACTGAGACTACAGCCATCCTTCAGGAAGGAGAACAACTTACACAGTGTACACTCTCTCTAGGTTCAAAAGTAATCTTGCGTTCTTGTTATAGAAGTTCTTTCATCTTTCCATGGCATTATTTTCCTTCTCAGTCCTATGGATTAGTTACTGATCTATTTACTCTGTAGAAATGGGACTAAATGGCCCTGAAAGCCAAAGTTTCTTATTCTGCATGGGAGAAGCATGGTACTGATGTGACTGAAGTGTTCCCCTTTTGTCAGCTCTTCAAGGAAGAGAAGATTCCTGCGTGAAGCTTTTTGAACTGATTTTTGTTAATTCTTGGCAGTAAAGCCAAGATACAATTGATGTCTGTCAGAAGTGAGTATAACTTAATTACGAGGACAATGAAAACAAGTTGCCTCTTCTATAAATGTCTTTGCCAGTTCTGGGTTTCCCAGAGCATTTTGTCTTTCTGCTACTTGGAAGAAAAATCTCTCAGGGCTGGGGCTGTTTTTATCTAGTGGCATTGCCAGACACATTGGTAGTACTAGTAAAGAAAGAATAGAAATATGCAGACTAGTAGCGTTACTGCAGCACGCTGGTAAAATAAATGCCCAGTAAGAATAAATGGCAGCACTATGAAGTTACTGCCACTCTCACTTCCTATGCCATTTTTGGTCTGAACGACTTTTGAGCACAGTACCTGTGGAGATTATTATTTTTCTTCCAGGAGATACGAAACGAAGTACAGATGACCCACATCTGGAAATTACTGAGATCAGCTCGCTCATATACCTTGGAAATGAGAGCTAGCATGTTTTTCTAGTTGTAAAATGTTCTCTGATCTGCAAGGTACTTTGCCGTGATTCAGAGTTGATCAGGGTAATATTGGGTGTGTTTGACATCCAGACAACAAAACCCTACTTTCTTTCAAAAGCTATGCAATAATTTTGTTAATCTGGAATTCAGTTTTAATTACTGAGCTAGCGAAGGTAACATTTTATCTCCAGCAGCAATAGCAGGACTTCTAAGTCATAAGAATTTAAAAAGTTTCTTGGAAATTTATTTCTAAACAAGAAGCAGCCCAGTGTGCAAGTATCTTAAAAGTACTGTAAGTCACAGGGTTTTTTGTTTCAAACACTGGTTTATAAGAAATGAGTAGAAGTCATAGAAATTTGGAATGACTAATTTGAGAAAATGGTGTTTCCCCTCAAAAAGACCATCTTTCAGGTGCTTGAAAATGTTTCCTCTGTCTTGTATGCAAAATTGTGGAGTGTCCTGCAATTGTGGTAGCCCTTTGGACTTGTGTTGGCTTGTGCAGCCTCACTGACAACACCAACATTGTAGTACCATTGGATGGCATTTTGTTTACTTGCCTTAAATGAATGGTGTCTTGGTCGTGTTCCTGGCAGAGGGAGATCCAAAAACAAATTACTGATATATCAAAAACAATTCCTCCAAAACCAAACAGCAAAAAAACAAACCAATAAACCAACCCAAAACAAAGTAACCCTTGGAGTATGAAACTCAAAACACCAGGTAAAGCACGTGGACAGGGTACAAGCAGTGACAATGCTGTGCTGGGTGATGTGTGAAGATGAAGGACGTGTACTTGAAAGATTTGTAGAACATGTCTCCTTATAGAATATCGTAAATACAGCTGTGGGTAGTGGTTATCCTCTTATCATCCCTTTCTAAAACCTTTTGTTAGCTTCCCTTTCTCTAGTTTGTTAACTTGCAGCTATTGAAATTAGGAGTCTTCATAGTAACAACTTTTTGGACACGAGGAAAAATTTCTTTACTGAGGGTGGTTAAGCATTGGAAGAGGCTGCCCAGGGAAGTGGTTGAGTCACCATCCCTGGAAGTACTTAAAAGACGTGTAGATGAGGCGCTTAGGGCCATGGTTTAGTGGGCATGGTGTTGTTGGGTTGACGGTTGGACTCGATGATCTTAGAGGTGTTTTCCAACCTTTATGATTCTATGATAACTTTCCTAATTATTAATTAATTAGTTTAGTCTTTCTTTTTAGTTATTTATTTCGTGGTTATTTAGTTATTGTTTGATTTATTTCATAGCCACTGGTGTGCTCATTTTTTTTCCGACCAGTTTGAAGTCTTAGCATATTCATGCACGATAGACTCCTATGGAAACCTACTGTCTATTCCCCAATGTTCTAAAGGGAAAATTTAATAGCATAACTAGGTTCTCCTGTTGATCTGTCGAGGAAGTACAGTACTGCTGGCAGATATTGTAAATATGTCTTATAGAGGATAATGTAGCGGTGTTTCATCTCCCTCCTCCTTCCTCCTTGTTTTTAATTTCATGAACTGAACAATTTTGTCTTCAGCCATGTATTAGATTGATGCATATTTGGAACCTGAAATTACTGTGGTACAGAAATATGTCAGGGCTAAAATGACCTTTTGCACTTCCACGGGGAAGATACAAAACCCAAAATATTTGATTTCCAGTCTTGTGCCTCCAACAGCAGGAACAGCTTTTTTTCTCTTGCCTTGGAGACAAACCAAATTCTTTAGTAAGCGCAGCCCTACCTTACGAAAGAAGACTGGTAAGACTGCGTACTGCTTATGGGGAGTGTGGGCAAGAGACAGTATACTTTCATACAGATGCTCTCATAAGATCCATCTACCTTTGAGTATGGACAGTTAGTTTTGACTGCCTGAAAAAAATTGAAGTAACAATACTTTTCTTTATTGTAAGCTTTTTTTAATGCTTGTAAGTATTTTTTACTCCTCCCCCATAAGCATGAGGGGTATGCATGCTTATCTGTATACACATCAGAACAAATTATTTTCCTTGAAGTGTTAAGAACATCGTAAGTTACAGAAACTGTTCTTATCTTTCATTTTGTTTCTGCTTGTCTTCCTCTGAGCTGTTACAAATTAAAGTGAAAATATCTTTATCTGTAATGGTGGTTTATTGTTGCTACGTCTAAAAAAACCCATCTACAGAGCCATATGCTTAATTGCAGGTGATTTGTTTGTAACTTGAATATTTCTGGGGCTGAGTTTTCCACTTCAAGCTGGTGTGTTAAAGGAATTGTTTGTTGTGTGGTTTTTTTGTTTGGTTGTTTTTTCTTTTCTTTTTTTTTTTTTTTTAAATAGGTAAAGATAGAGTTTTCAACACCCCCTTGTGTGAACAAGGAATTGTTGGCTTTGGTATTGGAGTTGCTGTTGCAGGTGCTACAGCCATTGCAGAAATTCAGTTTGCAGATTACATTTTTCCAGCATTTGATCAGGTTAGTACTAACAAATTTGAGAGAAGTAAAAAGAAATCTTATGACTGTTTAAATTACTCTTCTGTTAGCATTAATATTTGGTTTGAATACGTAATTTTTGCAAATATATCCACAGCTGTATTACTAATATTTATGCATGCTTTAAGTAAACGGGAAGGTACCAAGGCCAGTTTGAAGGCTGATTAAATAATGGAAATTAAAGATGTGGTTTGAAGCAAATGTCCGTTTGTTTTTATTTTTAGTTTTGTGGCTGTGTTGGCTTCAGCAGCCTTAAATTCCTCAGCTGTGTCTTCCCAACAGCATCTCTCACTTCTCTATGCTTCTGCAGCCAGCCATATGTCCACAGGACAAACTACAGATTTGAACTGGGCTCATTAACAGTGTGGGAATGGGGAAACAACTGGGCTGTATGGCTACTCCTGAGGCCTAGGCATCTAACTTGAACACACTAAATTATTGCCTTGTTTGCCTTGGAAAATGTTTGCTTTCCCACTGACTTACAGGATTCCTCTGCTTCCAGTTTGGTCCTCTGAATTCATGCATGGAGCAGATGATGTAGATACATTTCATGTATTATAGAGACTTAATGATGCATAACTGAAGGTATTGGACTGAATATTACTTTTGTATATAAATCTTCCCAGATTGTTAACGAAGCAGCAAAATATCGTTACCGCTCTGGAGATCTGTTTAATTGTGGAAGCCTCACCATCAGAGCCCCCTGGGGCTGTGTGGGTCATGGTGCACTATATCACTCTCAAAGTCCAGAAGCTTTTTTTGCTCACTGTCCAGGAATAAAGGTACGGTAACTCTTATTTTATGAAGATTAATTTTTTTGTTTGGTTTTTTTTTGTTTGGTTTTTTAATGAACCTGACCAACAATGAGTCTGGGTGCAAGCAGGGGAAGAAGAATGGCAGTCAAAGTCCACAACAAAAAATCTGAATATGTTAATTAAAAACTCTTTTAGAAGTTTTCAAGTTATAAAACTTAAGCCGTGTTAAGAGTTTGAGAATTTATAGCCATCATTGACGCAATCTTTAATAGACATAGCATTTTGTATTTGTGTGCTTTTTGCTCTAAAAGCATACATTTTACATTTGTTCTGTGTCCAGTATAGTACAGAAACTAAAAACTAACATTAATAAATAGTACTTTCCTTTTTTTCTTTCTGCATCTGCCTTCTTAAGTGCATATTCAAATTCATTTATATGAATGACAGTGACAGGCAATGGGTACAAACTGAAGCAGAAGAGGTTCCATCTGAACAAAAGGAAGCACTTGGCACAGGTTTCCCAGAGAGGTTGTGGAGTCTCCATGTTTGGAGGTATTCAGAAGTTGTCTGCACATGGTCCTGGGCAACCAGCTCTAGGTGGCTCTGCTTGAGCAGGGGTGTGGGACCAGATGACCTCTGGAGGTCCGTGCCAACCTCAACTGTTCTGTGATTCTCTGAATGAGAACTTTAGGCAAGCTTTCTGTGTGAGACAGTGGCATCCCTTGAAGGTAAGATTCCTAGCTCTTAGATGGATGACTTTCCTGGAGAAGAGGAAGGGGTGGGATCAGACTAAGAGAGCACTGTTTGCCAGCTCTCCATGTTTTCTGAGTAAGTTTTTGTCTATGGACTTGTACTTCTGGGTTAACTGGCATCTAGTCCATCGAGAAGTCACTCATAACTTGATTAATGCGGAAGACTTAAGCAAAACCAGTGTTTGTATGCTGAAGACACATGTTCATTGTTTATCTGTTGTTTAAGCTCTTGTCTATATATGATTTTGGTGTTCTAAAACTTCAGTATTACTCATTTACAGGGAGGCCATAGCCATTTCTCCGACTTGTTTCTCTTTACTTAAATAAAAAATATTGTATTATTCAATTTTATTTCATGGTATTTGAGAAACGGAATGCATTTTTGTCTTTGGCAGTTCTTTATGATCTTTGAGGTGTTCCTATTCTGAACTTGAAAATATTTCCTGATATAGACAAAAGCAATCTACAAAGTCTTTTGCCAGGTAATTGAATCAAACAGTTTCTTGAGCTTGTTTAAAAACTAGAGTAGTTTATTATCATATGGAAGCACAAGATAACTTATATGATTAAGATACTGATGCCAGGTCTAGCTAATTTATGCTGATCTTGTTGGTCAATCTCAAATCTTTATATACTGAACTAAATGCTGAGATTTAGTGGTCCACTCTGGTGATTAAAACTCTTTCTAATTCATAGCAATCTAGTACTACTGTGCTTAGTCTTCTGAATAAGTTAGTAAGTCAGAATTTTGTTAATCACTCCAGGTAATTTCATTTCTTTTCTCTCATCTCTGATGCTTCTTCTCATTGGTTTTTCACTTTCTTTCACTTTTCCTTGGGTAAAGTGCTAAAATAGGTTGCTACCACTAACAGCTGTCATATCAGTTAAAGATAAAGGGCACATTAAATTCTGTGGAACTGGTGGAACAATATACTAGTTTTTGATGCACAGAGAAGTATTTTAGACTATCTTTTGAATTTTGTATCTTTGTGAAAACAATGTTGTTCCTTCAATATTTTTTGCAAAGCTGTTCATTAATGCAGTTAAGGTTTAAGGCTTTATCTTCAAGGTTGCAGGTCTTTTTTTGAATGAACCCAAACCCAGCCCTTAACGTATGAATCCAGAAATGCAAATGAACTTGCGGTTCAGATGCATTTGCAAAAGTCCCACATCTATGCATATTTTCTCCAAATTACAGGAGAAAAGGGTATGTATCACAAGCTGGGAAGAGTAGGACTGATCTTTGGGGACAGCGGTTTTCAAAACTGCCCTCTTATTAAACTCTGTGGCAGGTTCCTGACTTAACATTCTTATTTTGTGTTTTTCTTAAGTGAAAGGTGAGGTTTGGATTTCCCAAGCAAAAAGGAGTTTGTACAACTTTGACTGTTCAGGGGAAGGACTGTAATCAGTACTTAAGACAAGGCTTGTTGGGATGATGAGGACATTACCAGATGGTTGTATCTTTTGTCTACTGTTGTGAGGATGTATGTCTTAATGGATCAGACTGTCTTCCAAAATTACTGTATTGACTCTCTCCATTCCATTGTAAGACTGCTCCAGGATATTTGCCGTCATGGCTAGAAGCTTTCTTTTCATTTCCCGCCTAAATTTGTTCCTGACTAACTTGTATATTTAACTTCTGTCCTTCATCTTCCCTTTCACATACTAAGAGAACAATTCTTTTTCCCTTTAGTCTTTTTTTTGTTAGACTAAACAAATCAAACTGTTAAAGAGATGTTAACAATTTCTGAAGCTCTTTTGGCAAGCATTTCATTCATTTCCTTTCAAATCAGTTTATATAGTCATGAAGTATTCCAGGCTGAGTTTCTAGCAGTGATTTTTGCAATAGCACTAACACTTCCTTGGCTATATTATTATGCTTTTTTAGGGATGTACTGCATAGTGTCCTAGTCATCCTTTGAGCAGATAATAAATTCATATCTGAATTTCTACTGCCGAGTTCTAAACCTATAACAAAAATGTAGTCCTTAAATGTGTGACTTTTCAGTATGTATTGTTCAGTTTGCTTTTGCTTTTGTCAGTCATGTCCTCAATGTGAACTAGATCTTCTTGGTGTCATCCTTTGTAGCGGTAGTGACTCTCAGCTTTTGAATAGTTTTCATTACCATGTTCTGACTTAACATCGTAAATGAATAAGGTAAATAAAGTCTGTCCTAAAAATGATCCCTAAGGAGCTGCACTGGTAACATCCATTAGTTGGGTAATTTCCCATGTGTCTGTTACCAAATGCTTTGGTGAAATATTAATAGACTTAATTTCCCTTGTTTAGAAAAATCACTTATCGAGTTAATTTGATGTGATAGCAGATTTAGGTTGTGTTTTGACTCTTCTATTACTTTTATATAATTAAACGTTCTTACTCTCAAAAAATATTTTGAAGCCTTGGAAACTCCTGGAGGCAGTAAGGTAACATGTCTGTAGTTATATGGATTTTTTTTTTCTTTAAACAAGTGCTACAACTAATGTTTTCAGTCAGAGGGGGCCACTTCTAACTTCACAGCTATAAAAATGTTTGCCAGTAGACTTCATGTTGCATGTGCCAGCTCTTTGAGATCTCTGGGATATAAATTAGCTGGTGCTTCTAATTTGAGGGAATTGAGCTCTTGGGTTCTATTTTCATTTCAGCTGTGATAATTTGGTAATTTTCTGTTCGTAATCAACATTCTCTTAGATCATCCAAAATTAACTCTTCTGTTGGCAAATCAATTATACTTTTTCCTTCCAAGTATTCAGATTATGTCTGGAGGCCTTCCTTAGTTTTCTCTTTGTTTGATGACAGTTTCAGGTATTTTTTGGTATTTGTTCATTTCCAAAATGAACAAATTTCAGGCTTCTACCATAAGCAAGGAAGTCAACTTTAAATAGCTATTTTGTTTTTTAGTCTTCAAAACTTACTGGACTAAATCTGAATACCTTCCAGGCCTGCTCTGATGAATCTTTACCCAAGCAACTGAGGATCACTCAGCTGAATTTTTTTGTCATACATCTACATTAATTTTACTAAACTAACATATTTTTTTTTTTTTAAAATCTGACTGACTTTATTCTGTTCCTTCTACCTCAGGATGCTATTTCTACCTTATTGGAGGGGAGTCCATTAGTATTTAAATCATGGTGTAGAGGGGAACTATTCAAGCCTCATCAATGAACAAAATAAAACTCAAAATTTGGAGTGTGTGTTAGTAATGTAGCACTGATGTTAATTCACTTTGTAAGAACTGCTCAATCTGTACATAGGTTTATTTAAAGCAAATAATTGCTTGGTTTTTAATATTAATTGAGGAAGCTTGTAGCAGAATTGCAGTTTAAATAAACTATTTAAAAAATATTTTTACAGATTGTTATTCCAAGGAGTCCTCTTCAGGCCAAAGGACTGCTGCTGTCATGCATAGAGGACAAAAATCCATGCATATTCTTTGAACCTAAAATACTTTACAGAGCTGCAGGTAAAGATTTATATGCTGTATGTTCCAATAAAGCAACACTTTTTTTTTGGCATATATGTGTTGATAGTCACAGCTAAAACAATACTGTAGCAGAAGTCTTGACTTGTTTTGTCTCTAGCTATGTTTGGGTGTTGTGTTTTTAGAGGAATTGTGAAAACTGAATAAGATCTCTAAATTTGGCTGCAAAGATAAATGAACATTTACAGTCTGATTCATGCTCAGTTAACTTTCAAAGCAGAATGCTTTGTACAGTCTTGGGTTAAAAAAAAAAAAGAAATAGAACTAAGAGGCATTATCCTTTATCGAATTGCAATATAAATTTGTCAGAAGTTAAACTGCTTTCTTTTTGATAACTCTAGATACTAAAATAAGTTTCCAGATCAGTTTTTATTTTTCCAAAAGAACTGAACATCACCATCATCATTTTCCCAAAGTTAAAATTTCTTTGAAGTGCTTTATTTCTAAAAATCTTGAAAATTTGCCCCTTAGATTTTAATCTTATGTGGAAGGAAGTATGATTGCCATTAACTTTTAAATTTGTTTTAGTCATAGTGAACTTCTTGGTTCAAAGAAGTTTTAACAGCTATCGTTATGCGTAACATATAAGAACAGAGTAATTTGAAAATGATAGTGCTTGAGTTCGTTGTAAAAAATTAGCTTGTTACTTCTTTGGACTGGAGAAACTGGACTGAGAACAGATGGATGAAAACAAATTTTGCATGTGGAGATAGGCAGAGTGATTGGGTGAGCAACTGATAAAATAGAAACACTGAAGGTAAGTGACGGCTTGAGTTCTATGTCATATAGCTTTAGATACCAACTATGCTTGAATCCGTCAATCCAATTTATAAGTTGACTCTGTGTGTGGACTCAAGTTGAGTGAAGGACAAAATGTTTGTATTTTACTTTGGACCTTTTAACAGCACTTTTCCATCAGTGCATCCATTCTGTTAGTAAATCTCTCCTCTTCTTAGAGAAGAGAAGCAAAGAATAACAAGGGAAAGATTTAGAAAGCAGACATCAAAGCTACAAAAAAATAGCAGAGTAACTATTAAACAAATAGGATATTTACTGGGGAAACTGTTTATTTGCTTTTAGATTTTCAAAAAAGACCCAGAATTCCCATTAGCAATGTATTTTTAAAAGTGCAGCTATTTTTAGTGTGGTGTGTGTGATGTACCCAAAGGGTACATCGCTGTGTTTCCTGTGTTCACTGTGTTTTGAGAACTTACTGAAATTTAGCAATAAAGACCTCTGACTCTTCATTTAGATGAAGTAGTTTGGAAAATGAACTTGAGTGTTAGAGTCCTGTTAAACAAAGAAAAAAATGGAAGTTTAAAATTCCTGTGTCTTTAAAACAACCCTTAGGTTTTTTTTTTTCAGTATTTACAATTCACAAGTACAGACTGTAGAGTTAATAAAATATTTGCTTTCATAGTGGAATGAGTGGCTGCACATCAATATCATACAGCTTTTGAGAATATAGGGAGGTTTTTGTTTTTGAGGAAATGACTTGTAAACCAATTGCTGGATCATCTAGTGAACATAAATCAGCCTTGTGATTGAAATCTTGAGTAAAGACGTGCTGAAATAGCGGTTAATGTGGTTTATGTGATGGTCAATAACCAACCGCAGCGTTGCTGCAAGATGATGTTGATAGTTTCTGAAAGACTGTGATTTCCTCCTATATTGCGATGGCTTGATTTTCAGAGACGTTACCTACATTTTTTTCTTAAAATTTCTAAGAACATCAGTTTAGTGATCTAGGCTGAAATTTATAGTACATTTGTGTCAACATGTGACGGGGATGATTGTGACAGGAAACTTCTTTCATTTTGAGACAATTTTGAGTGGACTTTATTATTTCTACAATATAAAGAAGGAATATTTTATTATGTGAAAGTGTTTCGATGTTCCTTTTATTTTCATTGAAAACCTTTCCCTCTGGCATTGTTAGTTCATCTTCTTAACTGTTTAGCTGTCCTTTGTGGGTTGGGTCAGCTTCAACTGGAAGAAGAGTGGTGTCTGGGAATTTCGTCTAGAAAATTAATCTCTCTTAGAGTTCCTTATGCTGCTGGCCATGGTCAGGGTTTCTTGTAATCCACCATAGAAACGAAGTGGCCTGGTGAATTCAGAAATGGACCAGGGTCATCATGATTGATTGTTTGGTCCAGAGGCAACAGCAATAAGACAGAAGCCTGATAAATAAGAACAGGATAAATGGTGGAAAGAAGGATTTTAAAATGCAACTGTCTTGTGTTTTGAGTAGAGCAAATTTTTATGATATCCCATATGAGTCTGTTGATTCTAGTGGGAGAAAGAAGATAGTACAGATTCAGAAATTTGCATACACAGTAAGCTTGAACTATATATGTATTTCTTGTCTCTTTCCATTAGTGTCTCAAAATACTACAGGGTCTTCCCAAGGCTGGGAACACACAGGCTTTCCAAAACAAGAAGACAAAATGGTATCAGATATTCTCTGTTGCTTTATTTGTCTCTATTTTTTTTTCTTTTTTGGGGAGAGGGGTAAGGGGAGTTATTGATTTCTACCAGAAACTTCCACTTTGACATTGATACATTTTTAGGAGAAAGACAGGATATTAATAGTATAATATGGTATAAAACCCCACCCAAGATTTGGAACCTCATTGTTCCAGACAAAAAAATCATTTTCTTTATTTCCATGATGATGGCTAAGGCTTTGAATAATGAAATTATATTGCCCCTACCATAAAATTTTTTTGTTCTAGTTTCATGTGAATAGACATGTTTGTTGCAGAGAACTTCATGAGTGATGTTACAGTGGGTGTGTAAGGACTTCATTGAAAAATTGTGTCAAAGACGATAATGGGAAGTAGTATTTTCTATCTGTAAAATTAATGTAGGCATTTGAGCTTCATCATTCTCCTCTAATGGAATTTTCTTTCTCCCTATGAGGCCTCTAAATAGCTATCTGTGATATTTTGTTCTGAGTTGTTAATACCTTTGAAATTTCAGCTGAAAATTAGGCTGTAGATGGGATAGCCTTCAAAACACAGGATATCTGTCCTTGTTCGTGTGGGTTGAAGCTACTAATGCTTTGTTTAAAACAAACAACCAACCAAACCAAAAACAACAAAACCCCCACACCCACTACACCCCAACCAAACAAAAAACTGTCCTCTGCTTCTGCCCCCAACTGTTGCTATTATTGTTGAAATTAGCTGTTGGATGCTAGTGATGGAAGATAATATATTTAGCTTAGGATGTATAACCTGAAGTTGCTTTTTGAGAATGTTAAGCAGGGTGCCAGGTCATTGCTGTTTTATGGAATCTCTTGTGCAGAACCAACCTTGTGATTTTGCGTCTGATGCATAACTCCAAGGAGCTATAGAGGCCCACCAATTGCTTTCAAGTTTTTTTTTTGGGGGGGTGGGGTGGGGGTGTGTGTGTTGGCTTGTTGATGACAGGGCAGGTTTTTCAAGATTCAAGCATAGATTTTTTTCATAACAGTAAAGACATTGTACAAGAAAAAAAAGAAGAATCTTTGTAAGTGTTTTGAAACATAAGTCTGGTTTCCAAGGTAAATCAGAGCTGTAGCACAAAATATTTCAGTGTGACTATCACATGGATATTGTGATTGCCTGCTATTTTTTTGGAATAATTAATTTAGCTGGATATCTTCCCAAATGAACACAGATTTGCTTATTTAGATATGTTGTGTGCTTATTCAGACATGAGGTAAAACTAACCATGTTATTAAATGAACATTCATTTCTATAGGAATATTTGCTATCCAAACATGCCTTTTGCCCACACAAGATACAAGAATAAAATTAGGCCTTAAATATTCACCTTGGTCATCCCTGGGAGAAAGGTGGATGTCGAAGTAGCATTGCATTATGTTCACTACATTCACACTGTGATGAACTGAGGAGAAAAGGCAACTTCCAAAGTGAGGAACAGCTTTGCAAGAACATTTTGAAAACATTTTCCAGTTCATTCAACAAGTAACTCACACTTTACATATCCAAGAGCCCTAGTAACACCAAAAGGAGGGAGTGGACTTAAAGCTAAGACCTTAAGCTTTGCCTGGGTGTCTGTTAATAGTTTTAAAAGTTGCATAAGAGAACTATCTATTTTGTTTGAATGAAATACAGTTGCTAAGTTTCATATTCTGCATTAGCTCTAATGTGCAATCAATTTGAAATAGTCCCTATATACAGATATGTGTTTATGTATAGGTATATATAATGTTATCTATGTGCATATATATGTTTATATAGATACATATGTATGTAAGACATACCATAAAGCAGTAACTAGATCAGAAAAGAAAAAGAAGTATACTTAGCATGCATAGTTGTAGTAATTGCAGATTTCTTCTTCCCATACTCTGAAGCAGTACAGTGCCTACAGTATCTGTGACTGAGCCCACAGGCAGGACTTGCCTATTTCTCTTGCACAGTCACCCTCTTTACTAGCAGTTTGTTTAGCAGAGGACTTGCTGTTCCTCAGTGTGCCTGGGCATTTTGGAATGCTCACCCTTACTCTTTGTTTACTTGCTTGGACAGTTACGGCAGTGCCACCACCAGCTTGGTTGTGCATATGTGGAGTGGGGAATGAGTGTTTCTCGCCCTGGACAGCTCTTTTCCTTTCGAAACTCTTGAGTGGAGGATCTTAGTCAGTCTAGCAGCCCTGCATGGTTCCCACAGGAGATAGAACAGCCTTTTACTTGCCTCACGCGAGTCCCTCCCAGTAGCTGGTGTTTGGGACATGTGCTGTTCCCACCCCAGCAGCTGGTGGCCAAGACCCTCACTTGTTCCTGTAGCTCATACCACAGGCCCAGGGTGTCTGCACCCAGGTTTGACTCCTGTTGCTGGCCTGGTGTCTTGTCTTCTCACGCTGGTCTCACCAGCAGCTGACACTTAGTCCTTGCAGCACATAACCCTGCACAGGACAGGATTTCAGAAGAAGCTGGGATTGACCACCATGATGAGGCACAGGGCTCAGTCAGACAGACATGCTGACCGGCCCTGTTTTATGTGCAGCTGGCCCCTTCTATAACCCTTTCTGTTTGTTCCCCACGTTGTTCCTCCCCAAACCCCTTCACATGCCCTCACCAGCTGGTGTAGTTCCATGCACGCCCCCCCCCCCCCGGGTTTTTTTATTTCCCCCGAGTTTTTATCATCCCATTTGACAAGGTCCTCCGTCAGATAATGTTACTGAAAGAAACACACCCACGTTCCCCATACCCTTATCAATAAGTGGGACTGAGCAGGTTTGGTTCTTGTTACTGCCTCCCTCATTGTTTGTTGGTTAGGTTTGTGTCCCTGCATGTTCTTCCTTACGGCTTCTCCCTCTTCCTATTATCCCCTTTCGAATTGAAAAGATCCTTGTCTAGACACCCTTAAGGGAGCAGATTCTCTCTCCTTCCACATAACCTTACAGTGGTCATCAGAAGCTCTGTGTATGTTAATTTGGCTTGTATAAAATTAGAAAGGAGCAAAGAAATGTAAGCCTTTCTGGGTAAAAGTACAGAGTTAAATATACAACTACGCATATAGAGAGAGAATTCTGTTGCTGGTTAACTTATGAGATTATAATGTTATTGAAAGTGCCATGGTGAAGTCCCCCTAAATGTCAGAGATACTAAGAAAATATCTGAATTAAAAAGAAAAAGGAGGCTTCGATTTATAAAAAGTAGTTAACAGCCTGTGCAGTGTCAAGAGCACTTAATGATTATGAATCAAAGGAGAAGATGAGTCACCTTGACATTATCAGGTTTAGACATCTTGTGCAGAACCTACTCTGATGTTTTTTGACCTTTTCAGTTTCATTTAATTGTACTATATATGACATTGGTGGTGTAGAAATAAATACGACTTGCATCAGTGGTTGTTATAGAGACAAGACAGGTAAGATGAGAAAACATGTGTTTTCCTTCTGCTGTTCAGATTGCTCTTTTAGAAAAAGCAACAGATGGTGCAGCCTCTTAAAATTAACTTGTGATGGCCCTTTTTCTCTGATAATTACAACTTTTTGTTAATCGCTTTATTTGAAATCTCTGTTTGAAATATTTGATTTAAAATATTTTATTTATATCTTCAGTAATAGATGAATGGGCTGCTTTGTATAAATGTTGTCCTGGTTTGGTTAATTATTATGGAAGAACATGCATAGAATAATTTCATATGCTACTTTTCATCATTGTTAGTAGAGGGAGGAGTTTTTCCAAAGGCATTTGAATAAAATCCTGCCAAATATGGACTTCCCTATAAATTTTTGACAAGCTGAATTTTGCATTTGAAAGTGTCAGGAATTCTAGATGAGCTCATCCAATGGACATCCTGTTGCAGAATGGTTTAGCTATAATAAGAAATCAGTTAATTTGTGTAATTGTATGTTATATTTAATTTCCTTAAGTGGATAAAACCATTGCACAGAGGAGGAGCTCTTTTTGTATCATGTACACCTTCCAGTTCTTCCTCTGGTGCATCCCACTGTCACTTCAAAACCTCCTCATTCATGTCAGTTGCCTGGGTTTCCACTTGAAGGTCCTGTGGCATCTGTATAAGGTTCTTGTTCTCCAGGTTTCATGTAGGTGACAATCCCATGAAAAACAGTTATGGAATGCCAATTAGTATAGTTGTGAATTTCATTATCATTCAGGATCTCTGCTGTTTTTTTGCCTGAGAGTTTTACGATGTGCAAAACCCATAGAATACTGGTCTGCTTTACTGTCAACCAGTAATGTGCAGTGAGCAAGGGCTGGATGTGCCTTTCCCCTCTTTCTTTCTCCACCCTATATTCCTTTAGCCACTTGTATTCAAAAAAATTACAGGAAGACACAGATATTTTAATACATTAAAAATAATAGTTTGCAAAGAGGTCTGATATTGTGCCATATTTAAAAGCACCTTGTGTTTAAAATTCAATTTTTTTTTCTTTTTTCCTTGATTGAATGGACATGTGTTCTTGAATTATGCAGAAAAAACAGTTCCTGTTCTGTTTTAGGAAGAATGATTTAGTTAATACGTATGTCTCCCCTGTGCCTGTTCAGTTGAAGTGAGATACCTCTAACGTAAGCATAGGCAAAAACTTTTTTACTGTGAGGGTGGTCAAACACAGGAACAGGTTGCCCAGAGAGGTTGTGGAGTCTCTGACCATGGAAATACTCAAAACCTGACTGGACATGGACGTGAATGACCGGCTCTAGGTGACCTTGCTCTGAGCAGGGGGCTTGGACTAGGTGATCTCCAGAGGTCGCTTCCTACCTCAGCCATTCTGTGATTCTGTGAAATTGGTAGTATTTATATATCATTACTGGAAAAAAAAAAATCTGCTGTAATTTAAAAAAAAATATTCACCACTTGATTTATTGAAAAGTTATGTTGATAAACTGTAACCCAGGAAAAAACCTAGGTCCTTCTACTTGTGTTGGATCTGCTATACCAATGAAGGACAAATACAAACCACTTAATTTCTCCTGCTGGTATCACTCAGCAGGATTCTTTATCATAACTTCAAGAAGCAATTTTGTTCAACAGGAACTCAATAACTATTTTATGAACTATGAAATATGTTAACGAAAAAAGTAGAGCCCCTTCTTTATAAATTGGTTTTGTGTATTCATACCGAGT